TGAAAAGCTCGTCGGAAAAACTCGGTATTTGTCGTATTATACGAATCTGCCACGTGACTGGTACGCTCACCGCTCACCGCCAGTGAACTCTATATATAGATATCTGGAATGATAACAGCGAGCGAAAAGTGAAGCCGACAAAAAAATCACGACATAAGTATTCGTCATTGTCTTCGTCATCAACTGTTCAAGAACTTTCTTACAGTATTAAAAATCACTTACATATAAAATTTGTAATTGTTTTGAAAGTTTTTATCACAGTTTTTATATCTTTATTCACTTTTAACCTGAAGATGGAGTTATACTCCGAAACGTAGTTATTAAAATAATTTTTTACTAAGCACATATGGTCTAATTTATATTCAAACACACGTACATATTCATTTACATTTTGCTGGCAGGCAAATTCCGATCACACATAAATTCTTTAAAAAATAACGTACCAGTGTATTGACTAAAAACTATAAAACTGGTAAACTAAAAAACAATTCAAACAATCGCGAAAAATGACAACGGCAAAGTCACAGTTGCAAGTCAATTTACCTACCTGTGAAATGAAATTTTCTCGCAAGAATATCTCCTTCCTTGTGCATCCAGAACGACAGTACGACACAATATATTTGAAAAAGTGATTCTTTTCTCCACACGGGGAAGTTTTCCTCGACCTTTTTCCGACAGCGAACTCAATGCAGTAAATTTTAGGAGCAAAACAGTTTGCTCCTAAAATGTATTGCATTGAGTTGGCCATGTTTTTAATTTTCTTTTTCGTGATTGCATTCAAATTTATACTGGCCGTGCAACGGTTTGCAAGAGGGGGAATGAAACTGACGTCCAATCCGCGTAAACCTGACGTTTGAGGGACTGAGACTGACGTCCAATCCGCGTGAAAGACTGGTATCGAGGCTTCATTTTTTTCGCAATCAAATGACTGAATGTTATCGTTCCAGATATATATATATATAGAGTTCACTGCTCACCGCTCACCGCCACCGTGACACGAAATTTAGAGCTATATGAAAGTTGCATGCCATATATGGCATGCAACAAAAAATGGGACAAATTCTGTCAATTTTGTCTAAAATTAAGTAAATTTTTTGGCAAATTTTGTGATTTTTGGAAAATTTGTGTTATGTTCCGAAAAATATTGGTTGTCCGGAAAATTTTTTTGACCCCTAAAATGGTACACTGACCGAAATTTTTTTGGCGACCGGGGGGGGGGTCGCTAAAATAATTTTTCCGGAAAAAATTTTTTGACATTTTTTGGGCAATGTGGAATTTTTTGGGCAAAAAAGCTACCGCCCCCCCCCCCCCAGAATTTAGCGGCCCCGTACGCCTATGGGGATCACAGTAATTGGCCAAAAGCTGTTGTGGTTCCCGATCTCCAATGTAATGTTATATATTTCATTTTTGTTATTCGTTATGCAATCTTAACGTTGTGACAAAGCTTGTAAAAATTATAATAAGGCCTAAAAAAATACCTGTGGTTCCGGTTTCATATCGTGAAAATATTAGGGTCGGTAGGTCGGAAATAATTTTTTTTTTTAATATTTTTTCATGGTTTTGGCGGTTTTTTGCTGGGCGATTAGGGATATAGTTTCATGTCTCGCTGTTTTGTCAGGGCAGAATTAGGGTCAATATTCATAAACAGCAACACATGGGAACACACGTTGAGCAACCACCAGTGACACCCAACTCAGTATGCGCAAGATAATGTGCAGACGGCACAAATTGTCAAGTACGCCTTCGTCTTCGTACTTCGTTGTCTTGCTCAAACAAACGGAACGGATGAGGATAAAGCGCGTCTTTTTAATGATGTAACGACGTAGTGCTTATTATTCATAACATATCTTACACAGCTATTTCAATTATAGTTTTAGATAAATTTGGCATAGCAGTAGCCTCGTGGGGATACTTTTAGCGACAAATGCAAATGAAAATTTAGAATATGCAAAATTTGGTTGTTGGTAAAACAATTTAAATTTCGAATTGTCGCGTGTAGCATCACAATAAACAGATAAATTGAATCAGTTTCACAAGGCAAGTTTCTGATCAACCTCGTTCCCAGGGTCTCTCCGTCTGTCATCTGGGAGAGACCCTGGCTGCGGCTGGTCACGTGCCTCCCAGATTCTGGGAGGTAAATTTAATTGTAACTGTGAGAGGGGTGGGAAAGGAGAGTGTTTGTAGCGTTTTAAAATTGCAACTTTGGGTGATGAAATTTACTGTAAATTTGCAACAAGAAATCGTAATTATAAAGAGAACTCTTTGAATTAATATTTATGTCGTGACGTTCTACTCTATAATCTGGTGTCGAGTTACAATTCAAGCAAGTTGGATCAGATTTCATTATAGACTTGCCAAAGAAAGCACGCTTGTGCAGCGTGGCAATATTAAACTGTGATTAAACCTACAAGAAAATATATATCTCTAGACCGAACAGTGTGGGTGTTATTTATTTAGTATTAAAGTTTATCCTGATACTCGGACCAAAAGAATTTATTTATTGATGAGATGTGGAATTGCAACGAAATAGCGAGATCTTTTGATTTCCGAAATATCGCCAACTGTATCCAGATTGTTGATCTATATAAAGGCCTTATCAAAAAAACTTAAAGCCCGTCAAAAGACTATAAAATTGGCCCTTGGCATTGCTGAAACCAACGATCATGGTATATGTCAAAGTATAGCTGTCTGTTGAAAATCTACGGTATTAAAATCATACACCAAAGATAAGTCAAACGGCAAATTATATGTCACTATATTATACATGTCTTTCAATGAGCACTGTTTAGTAGTGTTCACCACCTTTATAAATTTTGTAAACAGCTTTCGTTTTGACATGAATAAGCTTTAATTTTTTGCTTTATATGCATTCTTAATATATACAAGTGAGATTTAAATTTTTGCTTTGTGAAATAGAATACCGTTATTTTTTAATGGACAGCTTGCATCGTCTATATCATATCCAGGATTGCTTGTGAGTTGTGTGTAAACGCATTATTCACTATATGACATTGACACTATCAAATAAATATAAGTAGCAAATGATTAATGAATTAGAGATAAACAGGTGATTAACAATGAAAACTTTAAAAATGTTAGTAGAAGTAGAAAACTCGAAAATTTATGTCTATTCGTATGACGCCAAATGACGGTCTGTGCGCATCTGACACTGTAAATTTGGGATATAGATTATAGTATATTAGCACAATATAATGATTAATAGAGACCAAGAAAAAGGCTAAAGTCTTACTATAATTACCGAATACGAATTTATGTAGTAAATCCAGATAAATCAATGACTGAAATTTCCTCTATGCTTATGGACATTTCTCTGTTCGGCTATTATCAAATGTTTACATTTGCTAATATTTGGGCCAGTCCTAGACAATACTGTTTCTTTTAAAAATCTTATAAACAAGACGCGTAGTAACAAGTGAATCGGTGCAAAGCGTATCAACGTTTACAAGAAAGGACAAACGTAATGGCCTATTTTAAAAACATTACAACAAACGTTTGTTATAACCGCGCTCGAGTGTGAAGAGAGCATGCATTGAATAACAACACGAGAGAGCACTGCGAGTAACGATTTGCTTGGTTTCTTGACTTGACTGTAAGTAAGAATGTAACAATGTTCTTGTAAATTCAAAGCAAAGAAAATAAACAAAAATTAGCAAGTATTTTGAACGTAATAATTCGCAAAATCTATGTTTTTAACGAATATCCCACTGGAAGCATGTTGATGTAATTTGATACTTTCCCCACACCCCCTCAGGCGCTAAATTTTTGATGAGGCACGTGACCAGCCGCAGCCAGGGTCTTTCCCAATGAAAGATCCTGGGTACGAGGTTGGTTTCTGATGTGTTAGGCTTGTTTCAAACGTCACGCTACTTGTGTGCTGAGCGTATTAAAAGCAATAAATAATGAGATGAAATGCCTTTGGTAACTGTTTATTTCGTAGTGTAAGTCATCAGCTTTTCTAGGTTGTCGGCCGCCCTATATAGTTCTTGCAGTGTCTTTTTCAATTTGAAACTTCACACTATCCTTGGATCCCTAGTTGAGAATTTGGTTTGCAACTAGGTTTGAACATCCAACCACGCCATCAGCCCATTGAAAACATTAGATCACGTCAGCTAGTTTCCTATCTATTTATTTTTTATATCCATGGTACGAGGCCAGAGCAGACAACTTTATATTTGTAGTGATTTTAACCCATTAAGTAGCAATTGCGGCCTCTTACAACTTTATTCTTTCTAACATGGCAGCATGAATGAACAATGAACAACTTTATTTAAAGAGGGTAAAAACATATGACAGCAATATTAACTGAAAAACCTGTGGCCCTTTATACAAAGTTATTAATTCTACTTTAAAACGTCTAAAAGCTACTTAGACTAATAAGTAAGAAAAATATATAAAAGATCTTAGGATTATAAATTCATATACAGCTAATTCAAAAAAGGTTGTCCTTTGCAAAACTTAAATTCTAAACCTTAATCCTTAAACTCTAAGCGTGCAAAGCGTAATAGGAGCATAATTTAATCAGTTTAGAAACCATATATTGGGCCCATTTCTTAGAGACATGATAAATATCTGCTTACGAGAACAATTCATTCACAAATAGCTGCAATATTCAACTACTAAGCTTGAAACTAGTGCTCCCATTAAGCTTTGCGCGCTTAGAGTTTTAGGTTTAGACAACCTTTTTTGAATTAGCTGTATACAAATTATACAATTTACTGACCACAATAATAATTCAAAGCGAAAACTTAAAGGAATTAACGCTAGAATTCGTCTTAATATCCTGCGGGAGATTATTCCATATTTTAATGCTGCTGACCGTTACAGATGAGTTGAAGTAATTCAGGACAAAGGTCAGTTAAACTTTTTCGAGAAGAAATATATTTGGTGTAGTTAAGGTGAAAGTGATGTTTTTTTAAATTTTTGAATTTTAATTGCTGTAGCACGATGAAGATGTGAAGCTTCTTGGGCAAAAAATCGAAATGTTACAGGCCATCGGAGCTGCGCATGCTCCGCTAGCAATGCAGTTTCCTCAACGATCCTTACATCAACAAGAACCTGAACCAGATTACACTTTGAAGATAGCAAACTTTACAAGAATGCTTGCTCAAGCAAAATCTGACAATGATCATGGTAGGATTGAAAGTGAACCGTTTTTCACAAGCCATGGTTACAAAATGAAGCTTTGGGTCTGTTTAAATCTAGCATCATCTGGTTACGCAGGCTACATGGGTGTTAACGTAATTTTAATGAAAAGTGATCGAGATGGAACCCTACCCTGGCCTTTCACAAAGAGATGCATATTTGTTCTTGTTGATCAGCAAGATATCCTTAGTCAAAGGCAAAACGTTGAGAAGGTATTAACTCCAAGAGGAGAGGAAGAGTTTAAGAGACCAAAACAGCATGAGAATAGAAATAGGGAAACACTAAAATTTGCTAAACATTCAACTCTGCGTACTCGTCAGTACATTAAAGACCACACTGTGTACATCAAGATCCTGGTAGATCCATGAAGAATAACCCCAATTATATTTGGTGTGGACGCTCACCTGGATATAACTACATATACAATGGCGACATTCGCGATGGTTTGCATGTTGAAAGCTCTGGCATTCCCCTGAAGATTGACATTAGTTTCTGATTGTTAAAATGCAATCAAAACGTAGAGAGTTAATTTACAAGTAATATCCAATGTTGTGCTTTCTTAGCAATCTATTAAAAGTAGTTGTAATTTTTAATCTATATAGTTCCGTAGCATGTTGAAGATTTATTCAAATTGTGGTCATTTCTTGCAATATAAGAAGATTCTCAAAAATTAAAGTAAACTTTGATGACGTCATGTCCAACATCTTAGTAGTTCAAGTAAGCGGAAGTTCGAGTTGAGCGAGTTTTTATTTTGGGCGCTAATTTTCAGCCAAGTTGGCTACCGTACTTTTTAGTTAAGTGCAAGTACGACAGGCTAATAAAACATGATCGAATTGTCACAGCAGTAGCGTAACTTCATATTTAAAGTTAGGATGGCTGACAACTAAGGGAGTTCGGGTACCAGCTCCTTAGGACAGATTTTAAAAATAGAGACTCGCATTTCCCTTCACTGTCTGACACAGAATTGAAGAATTTGGAGGACAAGAATTCTGCAAAGTTGCTTCGTAATTGGTTTTGGTCAGTTTGTATGACTTGGTGAGGACTGGCGATTGAAAACCCTCACGCTTTGTAACCAAGACATATACGACTTAGTCAATTTTAGCCGTGGCTTAACCCCCCTGGAAAATTAACTTTAATACATGATCCACACCCCCACTTTTATTTCTCGGGCTATATCCCCCTTCCTCCAATTGCGCCGCCTCAGTTACTGCAATTACTAACGAAAATATCTTAACCGTTAGTTGCCTGACAATGAAACAGCAATTTGGAACTGACGTCTTATGCCCCAGCATTTTAGACCAGTATTCAGTAAACTGCTCTTGTAATATTTCAGTGTGATATCAAGAGTTCTCAAGGTTGAGATAAGTGTTATCTCAAAAAATCAACTCAAAAGGGATTGATAACACTTACCGAGACCTTGATCATTCAGGATATATCACAAAAACCCCAACTGTTTTATTATACATTGCATTTTCATTAATTACTCTTTCGACAAGCAATGACTGAGTTTGTCGCACGGAATTAAACAACGCTTGGTTCTCAAAAAAAGCAGTGAAAACGATTTAAAATATCACTATAACATGGACAGGGCATGGAGCATATATAAATCTCATTTACCTACTAAAGTTCCGATAAATAAAAATGTCTAAAAGATCTGCTTTTTGTACAAGAAAATTCACAACCATGTTTTTCTTCTTTTTATTTGTGTATTTAACTGCCGCTTGCCATAAAATTACATACCTTTTATTTTTATTGTTGCTCATATTTCAGTGTGAAAACGACATGAAGCAAGTCCAGGTAAAGGTAAGTTAAGGTTTTTTTCCAGTTACGATATTGATTTTACCACAAGTTCATATTTTGTAATAATTTTAAAATCAAATACCTTTTATTTTTATTGTTGCTCATATTTCAGTGTGAAAACGACTTGAAGCAAGTCCAGGTAAAGGTAAGTTAAGGTTTTTTTCCAGAAACGATATTGATTTTACCACAACTTCATATTTTGTCTGGTTTGATTTTCAGGAACTAGTGTAAGGCTAATTTCTTGTTGGAAAACTCCTCAAAATGCTGGAAATAGCTTATCTGAGCTTTAATTAAGAAATCCAAAATTTTCTGGGGAGGGGGCATGCCCCCAGACCCCTCTAGAGGTTCGCACCTTCGGTTTTCGACTCGGTTGTCTCAGAATCCTAGTTATGGCCTGATTTGCTGCCCTATGACGTATACTTATTAGTTAAACCATACATATATATGCTGGTAGCTGCAGTGATACAGGCCGATACAGACTTGCAAACTGGAACTTCTCCAGATCCCCCGCTAAATATGGCCTCTCCAGTTACACATCCTTTAAAGAGGCCCTTTAATCGGTCACTGAAAAGCCCCAATGGGGAGTGAGCTGAATAATAATGTAATGTAATGTATCTTAGATGTAGTTCATGTTTCATTAAAAATTGAAAGTGATCTTTTTCTATAAATGGCTGTAGCACGATGAAGATGTGAAGCTTCTTGGACAAAAAATGGAAGTGTTACAGGCTATTGGGGCTGCGCATGCTCCGCTGGCAACGCAGTTTCCACAACGACCTAAGCATCAACAAGAACCTGAACCAGATTACACTTTGAAGATAGCAAATTTTACAAGAAAGCTTGCTCAAGCAAAGTCTGACAATGATGATGGTGAAATTGAAAGTGAGTCTTTTTTTACAAGCCATGGTTACAAAATGAAGCTTTCTGTCAATTTAAACGAAGCGTCGTCTGGTTACGCAGGCCACATGGGTGTTTACTTAATTTTAATGAAAAGTGATCGAGATGGATCCCTACCCTGGCCTTTTACAAAGCGTTACACATTTGTTCTTGTTGATCAGCAAGACGACCTTAGTCGAAGACAAAACATTGAGAAGGCATTAACTCCAAATGGACAGGAAGAGTTTAAGAGACCAAGACAGCGTGAGAATGAAGGTATGGGAAAACTTCATTTTGTTAAACACTCCACTCTACGTACTCGTCAATACATTAGAGACCACGCTGTATTCATCAAGTTCATGGTAGATCCATGAAAAATAACCATAATTGTATTTGGTGTGGACGCTTACCAGTAGATAGTACTATTATTAATATATACAATGGAGACATTCGCGATAGTTTGCATTTTGAAAGCTCTCGCATTCTCCTGAAGATTGATATTTTCCTGATTGTTAAAATGCAATCAAAGCGTACAAAGTTTATTTAGGGACAGACCATTAGAAAAATGATTGGGGGGGGGGGGGCAAAAAAAAAT